CCAGCCTAGCCACTATTTATTCCGGATCTCCTGATGCGGTTTTCTCTTTATGATTTGATGTCTCGCTTATTATTATTATGGCTAGAGATATTTAACACAGTATATCGCGGAGATACACTCCACCTTCCATCCTCCCCTCTCTAAACTTATATTCGATATATTCTCTAATTTATCTCGGCTAATGTTAGCTTCTTCTTATACATTTAGTTCTTGGTATGTATATATATTATACATGTTTCTGGTTTCGTACGAGTGTTTCCTGTGTATACATATGCGTATAGATGCATGTATACACGCACGTATATACAGGCTGTTTCAATATTGATGGTACAACCGTCGAAGAACCAGACTTTACATAAAGGAATAAATCGAAAATATGGAATAAATCATTCTTCATTTGAGATTCATTGTTTTTAATAAATTTCGAATTTCCTTTGGTTTAAACCGAAGACTCAAAATGAAACAAAATTTATTTCATGCTTTCGACTTATTTTCTCATGTATAATCATGGTTCCTCTACGGTTGTACTATTAATACTGCGACAGCCTGATTATACATGCACTTATTGTGGTACTTTGTAGTCTTTTCGTAATATATTTATATATATATATATATATTTATATTTATATTTATATTTATATTTATATTTATATTTATATTTATATTTATATTTGTATTTATATTTATATTTATATGATCATATACATAGGTATGTTCGGTGGCTACGCTTACGGCTCCTACTTTTGCATTCTTTTCGCTGTGTGCATCGTTTCAACATTCCTGTGTTAATACTAAACTGTATTTTTTTTTCATTTTCACGTATCTTTTAATGGTACTTCGCGTCGATTATTTTTAAATGGCTCAGACCGCTGCCTTCTTATCCTTATTTCAAATTCGACATGGCTGAACGTGGGATGGGCTTTGAATTTCAGATTTTAACGACTTCTGATAGTATTAATGCCTCGCCTACTTTTGAATAATTTCTATTGTTGACAGAGAAGAAATTCTTGCGTTATAAGTTCGATTCAAAGTATTATTTCCTGTTTTATTATGAGCAACACTATCTTCCTGTTGAACAGGTGAATAGCACTGCTTATTTTTTGTACATACGTGAAATCTCGTAAACGAAACGTTCCTATTTACTATGTAATGTCGGAGAAGTTATTGACAACACTTCTTCTGCTCCTCTTTATAATTTTTAATGGTAGATTGCAGCTAAAACAACGCAATGATATGTTTCACATTTGCTTTATGCTTCAACAGTCGTCTAAGAAAGATATAACGTTTCTTTGTGTTATAATAAATGTCTCAATTTCTGGTCCCAATTTCTACTCACTAGCTTATTTTTATATAATTTTAAATGTCAAAGGGACTAAAGTTTTTAGCTTATCCTTTTATCGTCGTACCCCTACGATTT